TATTTCTACGGTGGAAAACAATCAGGCATACAAGGTACTCAAGGAGACGCATTTCAGAAATACCCGGTGGAAAACAGTAAGTGGATCCTAGGGAAATAACAGAGCAATAAAACTGGCCACAGGAGGGATGAGTCATGCCAAAAAAGAGGAATCTTTAAAATTGGATATGTCTGTATAAAATAATTCAGCTAACAGTGAGGGAATTTAAAGAAGCTTCTTGAAGAGCAATATGAGGAAATGAGAGGGATAAGATTTCACTTTCTCTCTGTGTATGGGCAGGTTAAATATAGAATTGTCATATACATCACAACGAGGGAGCCGCTTGGTATCTGGCAGAGGCCTACAGCACTTTCCTACATAAGAGTGATAAGCTGGGCTCGAAGCATTCCAAATGGTTTGGTTAGTTTTCTGGACTACATTAAAGGGAAGTGAATTTACATAGCTGTAATGCCTATTTTGTGCTGGGTAGTATGCCTGACATTTTAACATATATGAGCTCATTTGCTTCTCACAACAAACCTGTGACATGAGAGTCATTATCACAACTGTTAGCGGGGGAAACTGAGATCACACAGTTCTTAAACAGTGGAGCCAGGAATTAAATCTGAGTTTGAGTAACTCCAAAGCCAGATGCCACTAAGCTGCCTCCTGCATTAAATGATGCTGATAATGAAGTATCAAAGTATTAAAGAGAAAATATAACTTAAGAAGCCAGATATTGTGTTTAATATGCTTATTCACACTGAGATTCGGATGGTGACTTTGGATAATTTGATTTTTCCTCCTTGGGCTTCAGTCTTGCTAAAGTTTTTATTTTATGAGATCCACACCTATATGTAATAACAAAATAATCTGATGCACTCATTAAAAAAATCCTTAGGCGCCCCTTCCCATGTTTTAATAGGCTTGACAAAATTTCCCAAAGTTTCCTCTCAGGCCTGGAGTGAGGGTGGGAGCCAGCACCAGAATTTAATCATTCATTCATCCATTTCTTTCTTAACAACCATTTGTTGAGAGCTTAATATGAACCAGGCACTTTGCAGGGTTCTTAGAATAAGCAAAATGATCACAGTTCCTGTTTACATAGAATTTACAACCTATTGGTTGACACAAACCAGTTAGGTATTTTATGGTTTACTGGTTTACTGAGCATAGAAGAGTGGAGTAAATGCCATTAAGAGAAAAGCCACGGTCTTATTGGAACACCTTGGAGTGACACTTAATTTTGACATAGTAATTTAGGGGAAACTTCAATAGGGAAGAAGGGAACAGAGCTGTTAGTTTACTGAGCAGAAAGAAGAGCTTGTCTCAGAGTGATAAAAACAAGCGAGAAAATGGCACTCACCGAACCACCCATAGTCCTCGGGAACTGACCACAGACTAGGATGGGAAGTGGGTGAACTTTGTTTCTCACGGGTCCCCATGCCAAAGACTTGACTGTGCTGTGACTAGGACCGCCCTTGATCAACTGTGCCCCAAGCTGCCTCTGGCCATCTGGAGCCTTTTACCATGATCTTTTCTGTGTGTCCTCTGGCAGTCTCAAGACCATTTCAGTGAAGTTGAAGTCTACATGTAAAATCAGACTACAAGTAGAAAATGGTCTGATGTCAGAGGTACTCTTAGACCACTTAGGAAGTCTCTATTTCAGAGATTTCAAAGACTAATATGGTCAATTTTTCTACTAGGAGTGGGAAAGATAAGTGTCTATATAAGACAGATAGTTGGCTTGTGAGACTTGGGCCGTATTGTGCGGTGAATAGATCCCCTTCCTTTAAATGCATTAAATTCTGAGAAATGTCTACACCAAGTGAGGATCTACACTGCAAGAGGCCCACGGAATGGCAGATCCAAGTTCTCTTTAGCACACTCACACCTCATTGTTGTAAATTTTTGGCTGAATGTTTAATACATGGCTCCTGTCTGGAGAAGACAGAAACCAGAATGTTCTCTTGCCCACCTGGGGGCTCAGACATTATGAAAACGATGCCCATATGTAGTTTAACTACGACATGTGACTCCAATAGTGGGAAAACCTGGATAAAATAGTAGCATTGCCTTGGCATCAGAGGGTGACTTCTCTGGGTCTGTGAGAACCGTCAATGTTCTTCAAGTCACTAATATAGGAAGGTACTTACATGGACACAACATCACCCCAACCTACGTGTGTCATTAGCCTACAGGCCAGTTTACCCTGCCTCTCTGTTTTCAGAGTCACGATGTGTTCAACAACACATATGACTTTACTCCAGCACCACGATTATAAGGAGTATTTGATAACAGACTTTCAAGCATTTAGAAAATATCTATTGTGTGCTTTTTACAGCACGTTTTGGGAATGGGGATAAAATATTAATGAAACATTTTCTTTCTCCTCTAGTCTAATGGAAGAGCAAAAAATAAACAGGAAATTAGAATATGATCAGTGTGAGCATAGAGCGCTACAGGAACACAAAGGGGTGGCTCCTACCTTGAGCAGTTGGCCAGGCCCAGAAGAGTGAGGCAGTTCTTTTTAAACAGAAGGAACAGCATGTATGCACAGCATGTGTAGCAGAAGCTTTACTTTGACAAGAGTGTTGACAATGAAGTGAACAGAAGACATCCTATGTGCCCTGAATATCTACTGTATTTTCAGGAAACATAAAGTGGAGGTATGAGCCACAAAGAAGAGTCTGCACCTTTGATGAGAATTTACAGAGTGGGTGAGAGCTAAAAGAAAGAAACAAAATTTACACCCTTGGTGGCATTTTAGTCCCTTGCCAAAGTGATGTAATTAGTGATGTTTGCGTGAAATAGCAAATACTTGGAAAGCCTTACAGTAGACTTAACCAGTAGGCTAAATGTATCTGCAAATCAGGGACAATGTGATGAGCACAAATTTACATGGAATGCTTAAACAGATTCTTCAGAATACTCTTGAACACACTTGAACACCCTTAACACAGCATCAGCAAAAAGCCAAGCAGTGTTCTTTGTTCAGTTAGGTAACTAATTATTAAGCACTAATTTGAGGTACATGTTGATCAGAAGAAAACAAAAGATAGCACTAGAATTATTGGGAATTTTAGACAACTGCAGAAATTTTAGAAAACAGTATCTTTTTCAGTCCGTATAAAAACATCTTGTATGCTTGGCACCAAAGCACATAACTGGGATCTACCGCCTAGGAGAAGAGGGCTGAGTATGCGGATTTTCCATGTTTCCCTCTCTTTATCGGGTTTTAACTGTGTTTGCTAATTCTGTGTATCATTCTTTAGATGTACAGTCGGATTGCCATTTTCACTACCGTATTGTAGTCACCAAGAAGGCAAATGTGTGTGATGCATCCTAATAAATACCAGATTTTTCTGTCCTTAACATAAGAAACAAAAAAAGAAGAAAGAAATAATGCAAAGAGAAGGACTCAGATGATAGTCATTTCATTTTCTTTCAGGTTATTGAATCATTTCAGAAGATGGGCCTCCATGAAAACCTCATCAAGATCACATGGCTGCCTTTGGCAAATACACTGATCCGTATCCAAACTTCCTCTAGTTACCTACTTCTTGAAAAATATTCAGTGTGCGATTGTCCTCATCATTTCACCAAGCCATTTAATGACAAAACAATTGTCAGGTGCCCCAAATGTTGTTTTTTTTTACACACCCACTAGCAATGTTTGTTAATGTATTCTTTGGCATACAAGCTTCTAAACGTTCACTTCAAAATAGGAGAGGAGAATAAGTACTCCCATTTTATTCGATAGGAAGTAATAAAATCTAATAAAACAAAGCACCTATGATTTAGAATGGGAAAGACCTATCACTGAATCTTGGCTCATTTACTAGTTGTATGACCTCAGGAAAATTATCTGACATCTCTGAGCCTCAGCTTCCTCCACTTTAAAACAGAGATAATAGTAAGTACCTAATTGGGTGGTCGTATTAATAAAGACATCACATGTAGACTAAAGCATATTGCCTGGCTTGCTTTAGAGACTCATATTAACTTATTAGTAACTAAAATAGTAATTTTGTTAACTTTTGATTTCATAGTGTTTTTTTGAATGTGCAATTCAGGGGAGAGAGCTTGGACCAGTAAAACCTGTTTTTGGATCCTGAGTGTTGTGTGAAGTGAAGAGAAGCCACTTAACTTCTCTGAACCAGAGGTACTTCCAATGGGAAATTTGAGTACTACTGCCTACCTTGCCAGATTACTACAAAGATTAAATAAAGCCATTCTTCTCAGCACAAGATAGACATTGACTGAATACTAATTCCTTGTATTAATATTATCACAATAGCAGTAGTTGAAAAACGAGGAATCATCTGACTTACACGCTTTGGAGTAAAATAACACCATCTTATACAGGGATGGAAAATTAGATTGTCTTCAGGTGCCAACCTACTGGTTAGTGATGGCCTGGCATTTTCTATGAGAAGAACTGTAGTATTTACCCAGTCTCTGCACGCACGCAGTGTTGATGAACACAGAAACTGGAACCCCACATGTGATTATATTAAGTATATTTCAATATCCCCAGACTTTGTTTGCACAAAGCCACCAAAAAAAGACAAAACATTCTGCAGATACTACATATTTTAAAAACTGGGAATATAAAGCAACTGCCTTTTTTCATGTAAAAGGTGTTGGAGGAAAGAGAGTAGTGGTAAGATCTGGGAAACAGCAATCACAACAAAACAAAGAAGGACCAATCCTCTTACCCTATTCTTTTCCGAATCTGTTGCTTGGCAAAGCATGTAGAATATTACAAACTCACTTATTGTCCCAGTTTGTAATCATTCAAACACTTTAAGTTGACCTCTTTCCATTCATTCTAATCGGTGGCAGTGACTTCTACAGATGGAGTGAAGGGCAGAGACCTTAAGATAACGAAGGTTTCTAAAGAGTGATTCTAAAACACCTCTTACAAATTAACAGCTTTTAACACAGGATGGACAGCAAACAGGAGGAGCATTACATCTAAGGGCCAATTCTTCAACACCAAAGGAAGAGACCTGAGATTTGTTTAAAGTAATCAGCGGGTTTTATTTTCTAGAACCGAAATAATTCAGATCTTAACTCCCAAAGCTACAGTCAACAATATTTCATAAGAGCCCAAGGTAGAAGGGCAGGGGTGACACGGACAAAAGATGAAGAAAGGCATAGAGAGACCACTGGGAAGAGGTTAGGAGGAGACACGTCTCTCTCCGTCGTCTCGGTAGGTTACATATCAGGCCTTGTGACAATCCTGAGGGGACCAGGTTGGAGGATGTGGATGGGAAATGACCCTGCAAAGCAACACCAAAGCCTTAACTAGAAAAAGAAGGTTACAAAACCCCAAACAGAAGGGAAACCTCCGAGTTTATCTCAGAAATGGGGGTAGCATTGGAAGAGTTAGGAGCAGAGTGGAGGCATACCCAGGAATAGTTCTTAAATTTTTTAAAATTTTCTTTTATCAAAAAGGTTTCCTAAACAATGTGCCTTTTCTTTGATGCCTGGGTGGTGTATATGACTGTAGGGTAGTCTTGAGGCTGTGGGGAGAGCGAAACGGGTGGCCAAGGGTCTCCCGAGAACATCCCATGGTGCCCCAGAGAGCTAAATGGGGCCTCCTCACATTCCCATCCAAGAAGCTGGGCAAAGCTAAGCCTTCCCATATCACAAACAACGGGGATGCCCTCAAATTATCCAATGAAAAACTACAATCCCAGAACTCCCTAGGTCAGCAAAAGGATTTCTGAAAGAAAAGCTCTCCCCAGTTAAGTTGTCCCACTTTCCCTGAATCTAGGCAGCAGGGATGATAGGTATGGGAGGAGTGGACAGGAGCTCAGGAAGACGTCACTCTCCTGCCAACACCCGCCCCCGCCACCATAGTTTGAGGATTGCCCTTTCCAGGCCCCTGGAAGGACCCCTGCTCTTTATCCTCCACCTCTCTTCACCTCTTCCCCTCCTACTCCGGATTCCAACACAGAGGTCCAGAGTGCCTGGGGGAGGGAGAGAGGGGTCCCGGGGGTGGCAACAGCCGGTGCAGGCCCCAACAGAAGCCTTGGGAAACAGTTCCAGGCAGGGAGGGGCAGGGTGGTCTCATCTCATCCCGGGGAGCACAGGCCTTGACTCAGTTTACAGGTATGTGGGGACAGAGAGGTGAACGGCAGGTGGCCTGAGCATCCAGGTCAATCCCAGGGGCTGGACGTGGACAGGAAGAGCGGGCCAAGGACAGCGGGTGGGGGCGGGGAAGGCGTCCCAGTTGGCAGGCCGAGGTCGGTTTCCCGAGTAACAGCCAGGCCGCAGCAGGAACGGGGGGCGGGGTCTCTTCTTGAGACTTTGGTGACTACAGGCTCTCGCGACCTTCTCCAACGCCTGGGGCCTCGACGTCTTTCTCGGCGGCCTCCTCCTTGGGTTCCCGCTGCTCTGGGGGCGACCCTCCTGCCAGGCCTGGCTGGGCCGTGGCGCTGGCGTCCTCCTCCTCCGGCTCCAGCAGCAGCGCGGCCTCCCCGGCGGCCTCCTCCTCCTCCGCTTCTGGCGCGGCCTCCTTGGGACGCTTGGCGGCGTCCTCCGGCAGCTCCCCCGCGCTCCTCTTCAGCGGCCCCTTCTCGCCCGCCTCCTGGACCGTCTGGTCGACGCCGGGCTTCCCCTGCTCATCACTGTCGCCGTCGGCGATGCTCTCCTGGTCCCCGTCGCCCTCGGTGGCCTCGGACGCCGGCGGTGGCCCTTCCGCGCAGCTCTGCTCTTGGGCCAGGGGCTGGCCGGCGACCTGGACGGTAGGATTGTTCTCGATCTCCCACAGCCCCGCGCTGAACCCCCTCCTCTTGTTGGGCCTGCCGAACTTCTCCTTGGCCTCCTCGTACGGGAAGAGGCGTTGGGGGCTCAGGAAGGCCGTCTCGTGGGTCCCGAAAAAAAACACTTGATAGCGATTCGGGGCGGCCATTTGCTCTATCCTGGCCGGCCAGTGGGCGTAGCCCTTTAACTTGGCAAAAACCAGGTCCCCCCTCTTGTACTTGTGCCTGCAGTAACGCGACATGTTGGGGGGACGGCGGACCCGGCCTCTGGCGGTGGCCGGAGTGGGCGACGCGCTGCGGTGGCGGCCGCTGAGCTGGGGGTCGCGCGGCCCCGCCTCGAGGGCCCCTCCCCCACCCCCGCGTGCGCCCGCGACGCGGGGTCAACGCTCGGGCTCCCTGAGAAGGTTCTAGTGCGAAGAGTGCATTATCTCTGAGACCCAAAGCCAGTTGGACCGTCCTGTAGACGCTGGGGTTTTAGAATGATGGAGCGAATAGCTTGGACAGCCGGGTGGCAGTTGTGCTGAAAGTGGCCCCGTGCGGATCTCTCTCTAGGGCACCTGGGCCGTGAAGGTTGCATGGTTTGTTGTGTGCCAGAGTGGCCTAGAAAGGGAAGAAATGGGGCAGTGTGGTAAGAAAACAGTGACACAGTTAGCACATTATTTCGGTGAAACTTGTAACAGGCTGGTGCAAACTTGCAGTCCCCGTGCGGTCCCCCATTTGCTCACTACGGAAAACTCCACTCTTGCCTCAGGAGCCGTTGATGAGATGGCCAGGTCTTGGTTTCAACCCTTTTCTGATTTCCTTGAGGGCTAAGACTGGAGCCTGCAAAGAGACTCCAGGACCGAGTGGAGGTCTGGCAAAGGGATAGAGTCAGCGATGTTGTTAGGATGTCTAGACTGCACATCTCTTGGAAACCAGTATTCTAAACGAATAATACTTTTTTGGAGTCACAAATGACATGGTCATGACCCTGTCAAATTAGCCATATCAAAATTTCCTACTTTACATGGAAGTTTTGCATCGGGTGCTGGATGTGGCCTTTACCCTTTCAGAGATTCTTGCATATTTTAAAAGATAAGACTATATGGTTATAATATGGAGAGTATGTCAGATGCTCTCAGTATCTCCCTACAAGAGGGGAAAATTTGGCTCCTCGTGCTTAAGAATTAGGCAGAGGTCTGCTCATATCAAATATGCTGTTGGTAACTAGAACTTCTTGGGGGCTGCAGACTAAAAAGCATCCTCTCAGCTGAGAGACTTAAGATTTTTCTCCACCTGTAAGTCTATTCTAAACAGATATTTACGGACGTTTCCCTGTAACTGGGAGTTTTAAACGACTTTCTACACCTTTTTTGAGGCCTAGTAGCTAGCTATGAACTTGCACAGTGAAACCAGCCAAATTCATCATAATCATCCTCTTGGCTATTATGACTGAGACTTTTTAATACCAATCACGTATTTAACTACACTGTTGTTCTTTCCTACAGTAACCAACAGCGACCAGTGGAGAATTAGAACCACAGTGACCAGTGGAGATTTAGAACCATTAACCCATTTCAGTACAACTCAAATTTGTTTGCACTTTGCTGGGTTGGATCAGCCATTTCACCTCTGAGTGGTGGAGACATGCTCTGGGCAAAAGAAGTTAATTTCTCCCAACAAGCCAAAACAAATACGATGAACTTGGATAATTCTAAGCGAGTGCTTTTGGCTTTTCTGTCAAGCCGTTTGCTTAGAACACTTATCTGCCCCACAAATATCTACAGCTTTACCAATTAGGTAACATCAACAGTGCATCAATAATTTACTCACATATCGATGTTCTGCTACAAAGATGAATCTGACACATTCCTTCCTCTCAATTTCATAGGAAAAGTGCTGGAAAACTAGAAATGTTTAGTGGCTGGGAAGAAAATAGCAAATCGTGGGCAGCTGTGGAACCCATAGTAGGAAGGAATGTGGAGTTTCTATAAGCAGAGGTCTTACTATATGTGACTTTTTTCCTCAGCCCTAAATATGCTGCACTAATGAACAAATCAGGTACCAAAGTTGGTCAAGGATGAAAAAGTCTCAGTACCCAGAAAAGGTACTTAGTTATGCCATCAACTCAGTCTAAAGGCACGACCAAACCTAGAAACACTGTTCAAGGTGAGCATGGTGACAAGCCAGTGGGCCACCCTGGAATAAGGCAAACGTCAAAGGTTATTGTTGGGTGGTTGAATTGCAGCAGGTGAACAGGTAGGGATCTGAGGGTTAGAGAAAAATAACCAAACACCTGTCCAAACCTGGAACAAAAAAGGAAGTAGGGGTGAAAAGATCTAGTACAGAAAGATCTAGATCTGCAAAGGGTAGTAGGCATTCTCTTAGCCAACGGAGTGTCATTTTTGTACCCCCATCCCTTGCCGACTAGTGTACTGCGTGGTGCTAAGGGCTGGCACAGAACACGGTTGTCTTTGAAGACTATAGTGTAAAAGAGAAAGGCCTTCATTACAGAGAAATGCGATCCAGTCTTCAAGGGCTGCTCGTGTGTTCTTTACATAAATACCAAAGGCATCCTGGGAGAAATCAATGGGAGTGTAGTTGTTAGGGCAGACTTATGGGAAGGGTAATGGGAGATGTAGAAAGAATTCTGGCATCCTTCACTTATTGACCAGCCTCGTAAGGCTGGGAGTAGATTGAATATTTCTGAGCCTCTGGCTACATGATCTTAAGATGTTTAGAGTAATACTTAGAATTTCTCTCAGGATTGTTATAAATATTAATGAGATTCTAGGTATGAAAGTCCAGACAATGGGTATAAAGGTCTATGATGTACTAACAAGTGCGAAGAAGAATTTTGAAATGGATGGGATTAGGCTGTTATTATTAATTAGGCTAAATGGTGGAAAAGATTTATCAAAATGAGTAGAGTCATGAATAAGGGCACTGAAGAATGAAGAAAAATCCATCACCAGCTGAATTCCATATTACAGATGGAATTACGTATTACATATCCAGCACAACTTCTTCTGTGTGAAACAACATAAAAGTTCCTATTACTGGGAAATATTATTTTTAAAAACACTGTGTTTCAATTGAATTTATCACCTAATGGTAGCTAATTCCAGGGAGGTGAGGATGGGAGGAAGGTTGAGCAAAAGTCAGATACATTTAAAGAGTTACGAGGGCCAGCCCAGTGCGCAGTGGTTAAGTTCTCATGTTCTGCTTCTTGGCAGCCCGGGGTTCACCAGGTCGGATTTCAGATCCCGGGTACGGACATGGCACCGCTTGGCAAAAGCCGTGCTGTGGTAGGCGTCCCACATATAAAGTAGAGGAAGATGGGCATAGATGTTAGCTCAGGGCCAGTCTTCCTCAGCGAAAAAGAGGAGGACTGGCCGTAGTTAGCTCAGGGCTAATCTTTCTCCAAAAAAAAAAAAAAAAAGAGTATGGAGACCACTTTCTCAGAGACCTCATTCCTTTTATACCTGCTTTCTCAGTGATGCAATTAAACGGTGCGATGTTGGCTCCTTTTACCCTTGAAACCAACTTGTTATTAAAGTTATTGTGGGGAAGTGATGTTCATGGTAACTTGGTTCGGTTTAGATTTGACTATTATGTAAACCAAGTACTCATGGGCAACTGCAATTATTAATTTTCGGGAACTAGATCTCCATGAGGTCAAACATTTCTAATAGGTCAGGATGTTTCAAAAATTAAATGTACCAAGAAGGCTTGTTTGTAAAAAGGACCTAATTTCAGCAACAGTGTACCTGTCAAAACACCTTCGAGTCCAAAACATATCATACTTCTCAGTTTCCTTTTCTGGAAAACTAATGAGAGATTTCAAAGCTGCTTGGCAACCATTATGAAACATGGGCAATAAAACAATATAATTGTACAAGAGAGAGAAGAGATATCTAATTGATGTTTTCTTGTTTAATTAGTTTTTAATTCAATTAGTTTGGTGTAAACGATGACTTAAAATAAATGTAATTGTTTTCTGTGTGCTTTTATCTTCCTTAAAAAATATTAGCTGCCTCTGGGTTTATTCAGCAGAAGTGTTTATATATGTTTGGTATTTGTGGGTCAAGCCTTTTCTTTTTAAAATATTATATTTAAAATATTATACAGAAAATGTCCCCCTCCTCCACTATAGGTAGAAAATCCCCCCACTGTCCTTTTTCAGAAAGTCACAGGAAGTATTCCTTCTCTGTCTTTTGTCGTCTCTGCATTTCATCAGTGTCCACCTAGCCGAACTTTTTCTTTTTTTCTTTCTTTTTCTGAGGAAGATTAGCCCTGAGCTAACATCTGCCAATCCCCCTCTTTTTTTCTGAGGAAGTCTAGCCCTGAGCTAACATCCATGCCCATCTTCCTCTACTTTATACGTGAGACGCCTGCCACAGCATGACTTGCCAAGCGGTGCCATGTCTGCACCCGGGATCCGAACCGGGGAACCCCAGGCCGCCAAAGCTGAACCTGCGCACTTAACTGCTGCGCCACCTGGCCGGCCCCACCTAGCAGAACTTTTAAAGCCTCTGGGATTTCTGAAATTCAAGGGATCTGCTGGGAGAGGGGATTAACTCAGTATCAATGGGGATGGCCCAGAGCTAACTGATAATTTAAGGAATGTTTCCAAGGAGCTGTATCACTGTTGGTTTGAATAGCCAGTCAAATCTCTATCTGCCTTTGATGGTGGGATTTGGAGAGAGAGAGATGAGGGTACAGACCCTCCAAGTGGTGTACGTGTGCTGGTAACTTGGGCCCCCTTGGCCAATTGTGAGTGTTATGGGGTGGTGTGTGGGAAGGCACAAATGGAGAGATCAGAATTATTTGCAAAACTGCTCTTTCGTGGCCATGGAAAGAAAATTGCCACTTTAAAATTAATAAAATTGGCAGGTTAAGAATAATTATAGTTCCTTATGCTGATTTGTGGGGGGCTTAAAGATCTTAAAAATTACTCTTCGGGAAAAAATTTTTTTCAATAAAATGTTTCAATAATACAAATATTTTTCTAATTTGAATCTTGCATAATATTTATTCAAGCTCTGCCACATGAAAATGTGCTATTTTTTATCTATATAATTGGCAAAGATTAAACAAGATATCAATGCTGCTGACTATTCGAGAATGGGGGATTAGATGCATAGAATATGTTCTATTTACATGATAATTACATAATCAGATGGCCATACTCTGTGTCTAAGATTTTTAAAGTATAATTTAGTGACTTGGAAAAATTTTACAATATGAGGTTGAATGAAAAGACAGGACAAAATATATAACATAGGTAATTTATTAACCTATGTGAAACTTAGTTTCTTAAATCTAGGATGTAGATAATCGTAGTACCCATTTAGAGAAAGGCTGT